GCATGAATGAACTTGCCTCCTTTGCAAGCACGTCAAGTGGGGTTGAAGTAGCCAACCAACTCATGCGAGGCCTAATTGAGATGGCCAAGTCAGGTGCATGAAATAGTGACTATGGTTACAGCAGGACACCTTTTATTGTGGTTTTGTCTCCTTTTTGCTCCATTTCCCAAAGTATGCATTCTTGCTTTGTTGCATACCGCGACCCTTTTCCGGTTCCGCCGATAGCAAATCTCCCATTTATCACATTTTGTCTTTAATTATCGTTTCGAGACTGCCAGTAAATCCGTCCTATGAGATTTATTCACCCTATTTCGTTTAAGCTAATAAGCTACTGTTTGCAGACTTTTCCCACAATGACATGATCAGAGCTGACGTTTCAATTGCATTTTTGAGAGGTTTGCCTTTTCCAAAAGTTGTTCTCATCCCCATCTCGGTCTTTTCAACGCCCCCAGCGGGAATAAATCTCATTTTACTGATTTACCGACAGTCTCGACACTCTACTCACATACGAAAAGTAAGTAGCGTAGTCGATTGATACAGCAAATATACGCTTACTTCATCGACAATCCCACCAACGAATGTGATATGGCAAAAGGCCTGTCAATGCTTGACATTCACATCCTCTTTGTGACCCAAGAGCACTCGTGGCAATGTGGCCGGTTGAAGTAGCCAACCAGCTCATGGGATTTCCTAAAGTATGCATTCTTGCGCTGATTTTGTCTGTCCCAGTACAGACGAAAGCTAAGCACAGTTTCATCGGGCTCGCAGGACGTTAAGCCGATGTCTTCTTTGCACTATTCAGCAGTCTTTCCTTCGCCATAATCCTCCTTCCGCTTCCGGTGAGACCAAACCGCTAATTCCTTCCAAACAAACTTTCCTCGACGGTGAAATATTTTTTATTAAAAAGTAGGATTTCCAATCCGCCAGTAGATAAACTTTATATAAAGCTATAAATAGTTTTTATTTAACCTAACAATGAAGCTAGAAAACTATCCGACATCATCTCACCTTTTATAAACATTGAAATGTTAAAAACGACAATTTAAAGAAATAATTATATGCTGAATGGTGTGGTCAATTAAATTTTCTATTGGTCCTGTTGTTTTTACTTGAGCGTGTGTGTCTGTACCTGTGCGTGCT